AGGTTGTGTTTGTAAATGCTCAAATTATTCCATAAATTACTTAACGAATCTTAGGGAGAGAAGTTTCAACCAAACGAATCCATCCATTTCTATATATATATATTTAGAGAGAGAGAGAGAGAGAGAGTGGAGGGGATGTGTTTGGTTTTTTCTGGACATGCGGGGGATATGTCTTGCTCTAGATTTTTTAATAAAATTTCAGATGCAAACAAGTTACAGGTCTGAATTTTTACAATACTAAAATCTCCCATGGCCGAAGTAAAAAGGACTAAAGTGGAGAAAGGGTAAATGCAGAGGCAGAGGGTAATACTGAAGTTGTAAAGCACAATCAATATAAATGGAGAAAAGGGTGTAAAGGCAGAGGCAGCATACGTCTTAGATAAAGCATCAAAAGTACTCTGGGTCTCACAGGCAACAACCACTCCAATTCTCTCAGCTTCTGTCTTTGCTTGCCTGCAAAATTTACCTCTGAAAACATATAACTTTAATCCAATACAATCAAATAACAAAAAAGAAAAGCAAACACCAAAATATTCAAATGGATTTTGAAGAAAAGTAACAATGATTTATTCCTAATGGCTAATTCTTTCCTAACTTGAAGACTTTTAAAATCCAACCAACACTTTTTGTGGTTTTCAAGTGAATCTTCAGCTTGACCTAGCAGCGTATAATTCACCTTTAGTAGCCCACTGTTCTTCTTAGGTCATTATTTCATGCTATTTGAAAAAATTTTTACATTATTGTCTCATCAATTTTTTTAACTTAAAAGGTACTTACTTAAAATAAAGCAAAATAAAGTTTAGATCAATCAAATTAAAAATTATATTAATGAAAATATGAAAGGTACTTTAATCCTTATAAAATTATAAATCCAATAATATAACTATGCAATAATTCCTAAAAATACACCACAAAACATGCTTCAAATGCTCTATTTGAATGCTTCACAATCGCACGTCGTATCACACCAACCAGCAAAAAAAAGGCGCACTCTAAATAATCCTAAATTAAATTTATAGTTTGAGTTAAAATGACAAAAGTTTCCCATGATAAAAAAAAAAAAAAAGCAAGAAAAGTGCTCAACAAAGTGGCCCATACTTACAGTTCTTGTTCTTGTATGCTTGGAAATAAAACTGAATGAGTTAGAATAAATTTCATTGAATCTCTGTAGTCAGAAAAGGCAAAGGCAAAGCCAGTGGTGGGGACGGAAACTCACAAAGCCACAAACTTTGTTTTCCTTTCTTTTCACAATGTCAAATAAAAATTAGGAATGCCTATGAGTACGAGAGTGATCGACCAACAAAGCATGCTTTGATTAAACCGACAATTGAAATCAAGCTCAAAATCACAAGTAATTCCTCATCACCATGGTACAAATGGGGAAAATTTTTGAGCTAATAGTTTCTCTCAGTCTTTTAAGTTTCCTTCACTTTTACTTTATATTTTAAGACATGTTAGTTTACTTATTTATGTATTTTTTAATATTTAATGAGTAACTCATTACTATTATTACTATAATTATTATTTTGATCTTAATTGCACAATGAAATATACTTATTTTTCATCTTTTATCTTACTTTACCCGTATATCATGCGATTCAAATTCAAAATTTTTTATTTTTATTGAAAGAAAATGATTACTGAATTATTTAAGTCATTGACTATTATTTTTTTAATAGAACTAACAAACTTTTCAACACGGGAAAAGAAAGTGGGGGAAGAAGTTACATAAGCTCAAACTTTTGTTAACAAGTGAGGAAATTTTTTATATTTAAATATGAGATTTATCTAATATGTGTTTTTAGAGTATAAGTTAAAGTGTATTAAATTTATTATTTTGTAATAAATTTTTATAAAAAAATGTAAAAGTAAGACATTATTTTTATCACCAATACCATTTGGATGACTTTAATTGGGTAATTGATAAATTTAAGGTTAATTTTTATTTTTTTTATATAAATTAATTACCAAAAAATATAATTAATGCTTTTTTAATATGTATTCTTAAGACACGAGTTAAACAAATTCTTAAATATTTGGTAATTAGTCTAAAGGCTTTTTCTAGTAATCTGTTATTTTAAGTTTCAGTAATCTATTAAATAGAAAGAGTGATATGGTTCAAGCAAAAGCCATGTTGTTAGATGCCAATTGCAAATGGGTTATTCTAATATATTAGTTAGGTCAAATTTAGTTATCGTTGTATATATTTTAAGTGATGCTTTATAATATTTAAATGATAATTTAAAATTCTTTTTTGTTACAAGCAATTTTAATTAAGTAATTTTTATTTTACAAAAGAAAATCAATTGAGAATTAACTTCTGAAATAGTTTCAAGCAATTACTTTTAATGCAAGTTGTTTTTTTTTTTTGGGGTTTTTTGGTAGAAATGCAAGTTGTTTTTCAAGCTTGGAGAAACACTCTCAGAAGCATTTAAGCACTCAATTAACCCCTCTGGAGTTGAGAAAAACCCCTAAACTCGCCAAAAGCCTAATCACCCACATCTAAAACCCCTCTGCTCGCCCACCAAATGGGTCGTCACAATAACAGCAACGCTCAAAGCTCAATGAACTCGAACCAATACCATGGCACCAAGACTCGCTTCCAGGACCCTGACGAGGAAGATGGCGTGGAAAGTTCCAATCTTGAGGGCTCTATTGAAGTGGTTGATAGAGTAACAGAGGATGTCACCATGGGCGGCGACCCTGATGTGTCTTTCGTTGATTGTGACGATGGTGACGATAAAACCAGTGCTGATTACTACTTCGACTCTTACTCTCACTTCGGTATCTTTCTTTTCCTCCGTTCTTCCTGTTTCAGTTGTGTGGTTCCATCTATTTGATTGGTTCGGGTTTTTATTTCATTGGAAAACCAGCTGTTACTGCTGGAAAACCGGAGTTTTAGGAATTCTGCAAATACTCTGTGGACGCTCTTTTTGATTTTCCCTTTCTTCTTTTTTTTTTTTTTTTCTTTTTTTTGTTTTTTGCAGGCATTCATGAAGTAAGTGTGCCGCCCTTCTAATATTCATTGAAGAATATGGAGTCTCAGAGGATTAGGACTCCTATAAATATGGCAGTTGCTTCTTTTTGAACTAATGGGTTGCCTCTATACAGTATGTTTTTCTAACAGTGTCCCTGGATTTCAGGAAATGCTGAAGGATGTGGTGAGAACCCAGACTTATCAAAATGTTATTTATAAGAATAAGTTTCTATTCCAGAATAAAGTAGTTCTTGATGTAGGAGCAGGGACAGGAATTTTGTCCTTATTTTGTGCAAAAGCAGGTGCAGCTCATGTTTATGCGGTTTGTCTATCACTCTCCCATATCTTGGTCTCTTCCATTTTATGTATTATTAGGATTATTAAGAATTTATCTGGGAGTATATTGCTTACCTTGTGGTATCCCATTTTTTTTTTTTTTTTTTTTTTTTTGGGTCTTTATAGAAGTTTGTTTAATGTTGTTGTCATATCTTCGATTCCTAGGTTGAGTGCTCTCAAATGGCAGACATGGCTAAACAAATTGTGGAAACAAATGGATTTTCTGATGGTAAGAATTTTGTTCATATTCTCAATGTTTGTTATGTCTTGCCTTTCTGCTTCGAATACTTCACCTTGCTGTGCACTCTAAGCTCACCTTGAGAATGTTCCTTGTTACAGTTATAACTGTTTTGAAAGGAAAGATTGAAGAAATTGAGCTTCCAGTGGAAAAAGTAGATATTATCATTTCAGAGTGGATGGGATATTTTCTGTTGTTTGAGAACATGTTGAATACGGTCCTGTATGCTCGTGATAAATGGCTTGTAAGTTATAGTTATCACTGAAACGTACTTTGTTGTGATGTGGAAAATTTTCCTTATATGTTATCCTAAATGAAGTTACTTGAATCTTTGGTTATCTTGATTGATGCTTTGTAGTTTGTAAAACTGTGTTCTTAATCAACCTAGAGTAAGCCATCATGTGCACACAGATGGAACTTCAGCATGATGTTTGGCGGAATATGATATTCATTTTGTTATGTGGTTTATGTTATGCATGAACTTTGATTAAGTTGTTACAAACTAGATCAAGGCAGGAGTGGTTATTTTAAGGCCTGTTTCATGGTGATAAAGTTTCTAGTATTTGAGTCTTGTATGCACAGTAAAGCTGCTGTGTAATGAGCTACCTTGATGTGGTAATAGTAATAATGCGTTGCATTATCCCGTTTGTTTTCTAACTTAAAAACTCTTAGCTCTATTACTTGTCTATTAGGTTTGGTTTTTTGTTCAAGAGGAACAAGCAACCAACCACCATTTATGTTGGTTGATATCTTTATGTCTGAGCTGTATCTTTGAGGCGGTTAAGTGCATTTTCAATGGTAAATCGGCTTATGTAGCTTTAAATATAATTCAGGCTTTTAACTGTCTCCATGTTCTAACTTCTCTATTCTTCTTTTTTTTTTTTTGTGTGCGCTGCAATGTGACATGGTTATCTTGTAAAGTCATTTTTATTCCATTTCTTTTCCTATTGAAGCAAAAAATTTTCAGTTT